CCAGTCGGTGCCCACAGGCCAAAAGCTCCGTGGCACGTGGGGTGTTTTTGTGTTTTTTTTGTGTTATTTTATGTACCCAGGCGCTCCAAACAGCCCTTTGGTCCCTCAAAACCATAAAGATTTGAGGGTTGGAGCGTCTGGGTAGGCCGAAAAACTCCAAATTCACCGTCCAGTCCGTGACCGTGCCGTTTTGTGGTTGGGGGACTTCGATTCGATTCCAGGTGTGTTCCCCGGCGTCGGACGAGCGCGGCATCCTGAAGAACCAAAGAACACACCAAAAACCCACCTGCCCCACCACCGACCTAGCACTTCCAATGGGTGCCCTGTCTGGAGACCCGTTAAGTAGGGTAGGGTGGTCAATTGGACACAGATTGGATGATCCTGGTACCAAAAAAAACTCCCACGTGCAGCGACTACGAAAAGCAATCTCCACCTGCCCCACCAACAAGCAAGGCCGCTCGTGCCAAACGGTCAGCGGAAATCCCTCCCGATACGCGCCATGCCGATCATGTGGAGGAATTCGAGGAAATCGATGCTGCCACTCCTGAAAAGCACCACGTGCTCAGAACGTTGGCACAGGGGGCATCACCCTGAGAACTCAAAAATGGTTTCGAAAGACAGCTGCTTCTCCCACCATTTGGCCCCCAGAAAAACTTGGCAGAGTGTCCGACATCCACGGAAGGTCAACTCTTTCGAAGTGGAGCTTGTCCCACCCAAGAGCTGAAATGCCAACTCCAAACAATGATTGCTTGCCACGCCACCAAACTGGCGCCCCAAACAGCGGGAGAAAGCTCAGGCCCCACCATGAATTTACATAATAGGCTGAATCCCGAAGCATTGGTTTTGGGAATAGTTTTTTTTTATGCTAACGGTTCTTTTTTTTATGCTGGATTTGGGTGGGTTCTTTTTTTTATGCTGACGGTTCTTCTTTTTATGCTGACGGTTCTTTTTTTTATGCTGAGGGTTTTTACTTTTATGCTAGCATAAAACAAGATGGAGCCCACGAACCCGAATGCAAACACGTTCAAAAAGCTACATATGTCCAAATGACACTCTTGTAGGACACTCTTGTGGGACACTCTTGTGGGTCACTCTTGTAGGAAACTCTTGTGGGACACTCTTACGGGACACTCTTGTGGGACACTCTTGTGGGACACTCTTGTGGGACACTCTGTGGAAACTCTTGTGGACACTCTTGTAGGACACTCTTGTGGGATACTCCTGTAGGACACTCTTGTGGGACACTCTTGTGGGGCACTCTTGTGGGACACTGTTGTAGGCAGCTCTTGTGGGACACTCTTGTAGGACACTCTTGTGGGACACTGTTGCGGGACACTCTTGTGGGACACTCTTAAGGGACACTCTTGTGAGA